TCTTTCGGCGTAACATATTCTTCCGATGGAGGATTTACAAGGTCCCGTAATCTTTGGATTGAGTTGGTGACTTCAGGTGATGGTGGGCCCGGATTGTTTTGGAACTGGGCTGACATTGTGTCTGCGAAAAGTTCTGCCTTTAAGTTAGTGTCGTAGATTTTTGTCCCATCAGGTGCTTTGAGAGGTTGACATGCTGGTTGTTTGTGGAGGAGTCGTCGGTTCAATTTGTATATGGATTTGTTTTTAAAATTGAGAGTGGCAGTAAAAGAGTTCCATTCCGATTGTCTGTGGCGAGTGAGGATATCTTTGACATGGGAAACCTGTGCGTTGTATAGCGTTTTTACCCGAGGGTCGCGCGTACGTTGCCAGTTTTTCCGTAGTAAACGCTTGGTATCAATCTCAAGCAGTATGTCATCAGGTAGTGATTTTGGTTGGTCTTGTGTTCGCGATTCGTAGGAACAGTTTTTGATCTCAGATTGGATGGTTTTGGTGAGTTGGTCGATGTTTTTGTTGATGTCTTCGATGGTGGTGATGCGAATGTTTTTTATTTGGGTAGTTAGTTCGGTTTGGAACTTTCTCCAGTTTATGCGTTTTCTTGCTGATGGTGGCCCACCCATTGAAGGTCGGGATGATATGTTTAGCATCTGAGGGTTATGGTCTGACGATAATTCGCAGTGATTGGTTAAGAGGAAGTGCGTGTTTGGCAAGTCTAGCAGGAAAATGTCGAGGATGTCTGGTCGATGGGTCGCGATGTAGGGATAGTGTGTTGGCGAGTCGAAGGCAACGACCGAGTATCGGTTTACCCGCTCGGCATGTTGTGCAAGGGTTTTGCCTGATTTGTTACGTTGTGGGCAGTGCCAATCTGTGTGCTTAGCATTTAGGTCGCCGCCAATTATGAGAGGACCATCGTGGTTGGTCAGCGCGTCTAAATCTGTTGGTTTGAGTGTAGCACCCAGGCTTTTGTATACTGCAGTTACCTGGGTGATGTTGTTTTCGAGTTTTATATTAACCGAGGTCGAGTCGAGCTCGGTTGGAATATTTACGGGTTGATGTACAATGCCACGACGGATAAGCACTGCGGTTCCCCCGTTTGGAGGGGTTCTTGTCCGTGGTTGGCGGTCTGTGCGGTAAGTATGAAAATTTGGGATTTTGAGCTGTGTTTTGGGGTCGAGGCGGGTTTCTCCAAGCAGGATTATATTTACATTGTGAATTTTTACAAATGCCGTCAGTTCTGATATTCGGTTTCCGATACCGTTGCAGTTCCATGATAAGACTTTTAGGTCATTCATCATGGGATGTAGGGATGGCGTTTATGATTCTCAGGACTGTTGTGATGACCGCATTTTTTGATGCGACGTCTTCACTTTCTTGAGCTGTAAGGAGGTCTTTGATTATTTGCAAGAGCTTGGATGCGTTTATTGTAGGTTCTGGCTTTTCTGCTTGGTGTTTTGTTACGCTCGCGTAAGATTTAATTGTTGATGCTATGGTCGTTTCGTGTGTTGTTGGTAGTGGTATAGGCGTTGGCATCGTTGTCAGTATGGATTTGTTTCTTGCTTCTCTGGAGTGGTCTATTTTTCCTTTGTAAATATCTGTGTAGTATGGGCAGCCCCTATAGTTTGCGGTGTGTTTTCCATTACAGTTGCAGCAGGTTGGGGTATCTTCTTTTGGTTTCTTACATTCCTTGTTTGAATGGTTTGCTCTACACTTAACGCATCTTGGAGGGTGTCCGCACTGAAGTGATGAGTGGCCAAATCTCTGGCATGAAAAGAATTGGGCGGGACCTACCTACTACACCACTTGATGTCAAAATGTGCTGCTATTAATTTAAATAAACCTATTTGGTTGGGAGGTAAACTATAATTGTTCCTTAGTTTGTTATTTTAAGACAAGTCTACCTCAAAAGCCGAATGCACGTTAAACATTGTTTGTGAATACATTTGTAACTGTCTGCGGCCAAACATAGGAACATAGATTCCCATAACTGTTTGAAAGTATTGTCGGCATGATAGGTGTCAAAATGAAATGTATTTGTGTGCTACAATCAAAAATTGAAATACATTATTATGCCCCAAACACGATAAGTACTAAAACAATATATGTAACTCACTTGTTGACAACATTGCTATAATAAGAATAAATAATGTTCAAAATATGGGTAGAAAAACATATTTTTTTATTTTTTTTTTTTTTAAATATATTAATTAAGAAAAATACCAAATGATGTTATCTTGAAATAATGGGACAAAAGTTGAGGTGACAAGCAGGTCACGTAATATAGAAATCAATCTAATCCAAATAGAATAATCATCTTCCTCAGATGACTCACTGATTGGGATTACGGTCAAGTTGAATAAAGTTTTCAGTATTTCACAGCTGAGCAACACATTATCTTCCTGTAAATATTATTCATGTTGTCGTTTAAAATGTCAATTATATTAGTAGGTAAATAAGTCAGTTACCTGTAAGCTAGATGAATTGTTTTTGGATGCATCTTCAATAGTGTCACGTAATATATTGTCCAAGACTTCTGTTAGGTATGTGAGACCATGTAACTCTTCTGTGATTTTTAATCTAAAATAAAACAGTTAGGAAATACACAAAAAAAAAAAATTTTAATTAAATATGCATTAGAAATCTACCTTATATCCTTGTTAAATGCCGTTAAAAGAAATAAAAGTTTGATGTCAAAATATTTTATGGCATATGGAATATTCTGTTCAAAATATGTTCTTAGTCTGAGCACAATGCAATCAACAGTTTTGTTCGAACAGCATACTTCTTGTGCAGTGTCACAATTATAGACTATATTACACAGACATTTCAGGCCTTCTACGATAACTGTAGGACAGAACCACAATATAATTATTTACTATTTAGTAGGTAAACCATCTTCAGCATACAATTTTTAATTTAGTCGGTATTTATTTTTGAAGAAAGATATTTTTGGTGACTTACCATCTGTATTTTCGGTTGTAATTACTATGCATAATGTGTCTTCAACAAGATTAGCACACTGAAGTAGAATGTTTACGTGTTGTTCAATTATAATATCTTTTAAATGTGTTTTGTCTCGGCTGTGGATCACAATAATTATTTTTAATATAGATAAGTAATTTTTAAAAAGTAATGTAACCATTGAGATGCATAATCTAGTTATACATGGTCAACTTTCAAGACTAATTAATAATAATTATTCAGTCAATTGTGTTGTATAATTATTCTGGTTTAACTCCCATGCGATTTTTCAAAATTTTTCTTGTCAGTCGGACTTAGTTTTTAAATCATAGCTAATTGAAGTATTGAAATGTCTTGGCAAAAAGGGTAACATGGGTTACAGACAATTCATAGTCAGGTTTGCCGGATGTTTATGTATTTTTATCAATTTTGTCTTAACTTTATGACCTTCCAAAGGTGGTTTTGCATAAAAAATTGAGGGATATTTTCAATTTTAATCGTCCAAACTGGTTGTATGGGTGCTCTGAATAATTAAAAAAAAAAAAAATCTCTTGGGAGCTAAACTATAAGTAATAATTGTTCCTTAGTTTGTTATTTTAAGACAAGTCTACCTCAGAAGCCGAATGCACGTTAAACATTGTTTGTGAATACATTTGTAACTGTCCGCGGCCAAACATAGGAGCATAGATTCCCATAACTGTTTGAAAGTATTGTCGGCATGATAGGTGTCAAAATGAAATGTATTTGTGTGCTACAATCAAAAATTGAAATACATTATTATGCCCCAAACACGATAAGTACTAAAACAATGTATGTAACTCACTTGTTCAACGATAGCTTCAACTAAGACTTTTACTCGTTGGAAATCGTTTTGTTCAATAGCTGCATTAATTATTTATCATCACTCGATACTGTTATCATCAGTTATCACCCTTGCTGTTGTGGAATAGAATAGATAAAATATTACGTCAGCCTCAAAGTGTATTAATCAATATATAGGCAGTTTGCCATTTAATTATGACGCAGTGCTGGTAGCGACTCACTTTTCTCACCTTTCGACACTTTTATTTACTTTTTCATAATTATGGTATCTTTTCTCACTTTTTTGCGATTTTTTAATAATAATTCTAAATGTATCAACTTATCAGTTGATTGAACCTAGCGGGCATAGAACATATTATATTTAAAAAAAAATTTAAATATAATATGTAATATAAATTATATGCTATGGTTCGGGTTAGTAACTGCTGTAAATTGTAATGCGGGTGAAAGTGTTTACAGATTCTTATTTATTAATCCGGTAGACATTTTTTCTGCCAACAAAATTCTGAACATGAAATATAATAATAATATAATATTTATGTTTAAACTTATAACTGAATAGGTAATTACGAAGTGGTGAAAATCCCGTAAATCGCAAATGAAATGTAATTCATATCACAGCTAGGTTGAATAATATTATTATATTCTTATAATAGATGTTGTGCTGAAATAAAATATAAAAAAATTATTTAAATGCCGTGAGAAGAGAATAACTTATAACTGTTTATGATATATTAAATAAAGTATTTTATGAGAAGTCGTGTAGCTATAATAAATATTTAGACATAGAGTATTTTTTACATTTGACCTCCAAAGTACCAACAAGATTAATTTTCCTACAAAAAAGTGTCGCTATTTTTTTACTGTCCTAAAAGTGAACAACCTACCAGTCGTAGTTGTGGACGTGTTATATTGGAATTCAATGATAAATTATTGTAAAAGAAAAACGATTTCGACAGGACTACAGGAGACTCTTAATTAATAATTATAGATGATCTCTCAATTGGTACTACTATTAAGAATCGCGATTTTCTACTACCAGAAAAACACACAATTTGTAAATCAATAAATATAATATCTATAATTTCGGCTGAGGTCAGTGCACAAATAAGTGACATAAATCATTATTGGAATATTCCATCGTCTGTACATTTCGTAAACGTGGTGGCCCTGAAAAGGGCCGTTTTAATGTCAGATATTATATTATGGTCAAAAGAAATGAATTATTTGGAGCTCGTGTATTTGGTGACGGCTTTGGTTCCTTCACTGACGGCGTGTTTGGCCAACTCGCCGGGCAATAATAGTCGGACGGCGGTTTGGATTTCCCGACTGGTGATGGTCGAACGCTTGTTGTAATGAGCTAAACGACTGGATTCGGAAGCGATGCGTTCGAAGAGATCGTTGACGAAACTGTTCATGATGCTCATCGCCTTTGACGAAACACCGGTGTCGGGATGTACTTGCTTCAACACTTTGTAGATGTAGATGGCGTACGATTCTTTCCTCTTGGGCTTGCGTTTTTTCTCGGACTTGGCGATGTTCTTTTGGGCCTTGCCGGACTTTTTCATCGCTTTGCCGCCTGCGGATTTACCTCCTGGAGCCATGTCGATATGTGTAGTTGATAATATTGCCGTTGTCAAGTAACCGTTTGGTCTGAATGATGCCGGGACTTGGACTTGCCTTTATAGGACGGCCTATGGCCTATTTAGAGCTCCAGGCAGTTGCCTTTTCTCTCTAGTTTGATTTGGATTGCTTTAAGTTTTTAGGACTGTTTGTTTTTGAATTTTATGCTGATAGTTTTTGTATGTGTTGGTATCTTGATATTGAGGCCTTGTAGTAAAAAGTCTGGGTTGCGTGTTTTATGATGACTGAGAGGGGTTCTAGGTTTGCTGATCTTTGGATAGCTTCATTTCTGGTAAGATAGTGCATGCCCGTTATTTGTCTTAATGTTGTGTTTTGTACGACCTCCATTTTCTTCAGGCTTGACTTGCTAATTTGTGGCGCCCACGCAACTGAGCCGTATAGGATAATTGGTTTTATATACATGTTGTATATTTGTATTTTTGTTTTTAGCGGTATAGGAGATTTATTGTTTAATATTGGGTAGAGGGATGTTCTTGCTCCTTTTGCTTTTTGCGTTGCGATTTTTACATGTTGATGCATATGTAATTTTGAGTCGATAGTTATCCCAAGGTATTTGACTTTATTTTTCCAGTTTGTGGTTTGGTTTCGTACGGTTATTTTAGTTTTTGTTGGTTTTCCTCCGAAGATAATTGATTCCGTTTTTGCTGCATTTATTTTTAGTCTCCACTTGTCGGTCCAGTCAAGAGTTAGATTGATTTGTTTTTGCAGATGGGATATCGCATACCTTTTGTTTCTGTGGGCTGCATGGAACATTGTGTCATCCGCGAATATTGATGTTTTTACTTGAGGATGAAGAGGGAGATCATTTATGTAATGCGTGTATAGTATCGGTGATAGGCATGAGCCTTGTGGTACCCCTGCTTGTATGGTTCTTTCTGTTGATAGTTGGTCATCTACTCTTATCTGAAAGGAACGTCCAGTCAGGAAAGATTTGATTAGTTTTACGGTGTAATTTGGTAGATCTGTATTCTTATTTAGTTTGTGGATGAGACCCATGTGCCACACACGGTCAAACGCTTTTTCTATGTCCAAAAATGTTGCAGCTGTGTATTTCTTTTCTGATTTGTTGTTTTTTAAATCTTTGAACAGTTGTACAAGTTGGGTGGTCGTCGAGTGTCCCTCTCTAAAGGCATGTTGTTCTGGTCGTGGTTTGATACATTTTTGTAGTGATTTCAGTACTAGTTTTTCGAATAATTTGGACATGGTAGGCAATAGCGATATTGGGCGATGGCTTTCTGGTTTGGAGTGATTTTTTCCCGGTTTAGGTATCATGATTATGATAGCTCTTTTCCATGTTTTTGGAAAGTAGGCTACCCGAAGACATGCTGTGAATATATGAGCTAGTTGAGTAAGTATGTTGTTTGGAAGGTTCTTCAATGCCTTGTTGGTTATATTGTCGTGTCCCGGTGCCTTTCCGTTTGGGAGTTTGTTTATAATGTTCGAAATTTGTTTTGGCGTGATAAACTCTTGAGACGGTGTCTTGTCTCGATTGATTTCCGTATACGTATCAACGGCCTCTTGTATGTTTTCTCCTGGGTTGTTTGTAAATTGATCCTCCATGGTGTCAGCAAACAGCTCTGCTTTTTCGTCATCTTCGAATATTTTTCGGCCATGCGTGGTTTGTAGTGGGGTATTCGCAGGTTTCTTGTGGAGAAGACAGTGGTTGAGTTTATATAGTGATTTATCTTTAAAGTTTAACGTTTGTACGAAGGCGTCCCATTCTGATTGTCTGTGGTCAGTTAACAGTTTTTTGACAAATGTTATTTGGGCGTTGTATAGTTTCTTCGTTTTTGGGTCTCTCGTAGTTTGCCACATTTTTCTAAGAAGTCGTTTTGTCTCAATTTCAAGTGTTATTTCGGCGGGAAGGTGTGATTTATTCAATTTTGGTTCGACGGTGTAGGTTGAGTTTTCAAGTTGTGTTTTGATGTTATTTGTCAGTTCATCTATTTTGTGGTCAATTTCTTGTGGTGTTCGGACATTGGATATTTTAATTTGCGAGAGTTCGTTCTTGAATTTTGTCCAGTTGATTTTGTTGGATGTCTTCGGGGATTTCTTGATATCGGCGATGCTTGTATGTTAAGTTGAATTGGGTTATGGTCTGATGAGAGGTCGTTGTGATTAGTCAGCGTGTAGTTAATTGAAGGTAGGTTTATCAGGGCAATATCTGGGATGCCGGGAACCTTGCCTTGCCTTGCCTTGCTTTGGATGAGGGGAGAATTTCCCATTTTGCACAAGTTTCGGGGTGTACCCATTCCTTGGAGTAGAAGGTGTGTTGGAGAGTAATTACATTATATTTTCAGGTCTCTTCCTTTTCCACTGGATAGTGGCCTTGGAACGGCCGATGGATTTGATGTGTTGGTGATTGGAGGTTTTTGTTTTGTTGAACATGATCTTCGATGCCCTGATTATTTGGTTTTGGAGAGAGTCGATGTTTGATGAATTTCTAATTGTGGTGTTCCTTATGAACCAGGGTGACGCTGTTATTGTTCTTAAAGATATATTTTGGACCGCCTCGAGACGTCTCCAGTCTCGATTTGAGATAAGAGATATGCCGGGAACAGGAAAAAAATAAGTATATATTACCAAACCAAAGCTATACGTCGATCGTTCATTGGTCAAAAAGTCCTAAATGTGACGGACTAAACAAGATTCGACGGTGGTTACGTGATGGTATAAAATAATAGTTTCTCTACAAAAAAAAAATATAGAAGTGCCGAGTGAAAACCGCATCGTTGAGTAGCGATTGATGGGCAGACGGTATCAAGTTGCTTCGTCTAACTGTTTCGTTTTATCCAATTACAGAAATGGTTCAATATTTTTGCTTATATAAGGCGAATTTCCAAAACATTTTTATCACCAAAAATACCATCCAAAAAAAACAAATAAAATACCATCCATTATCCAAAATACCATCCGAAAGGCTCGCGGTGCCCGGGCTGCACTACATCCGATCCTAAACCGAAACAGCACTGTACCACTGGCTAACAAACTGACAATATACAAAATATACCTTAAGCCCATTATTTTATATGCAGCTCCCGTTTGGAGAAACAGAAATCGCCAATCATCTTGGAAACAGATTGAGATCTTCCAGTCCGTAGCACTACGTACCATGACCGGCGCCCACTACCTGGTCTCAAATCTAAACTTACGGAACTCAATGTCCATCGAAACCCTCCAAGACGAAGCACTCCACCTATCAAAAAACCTTGCTCATACACTTTCAAGGAGCAAATATCCACACTTATCATGTCTAGTCCCATGAACAGACCAAAACCTATCAATTAAAATACCTCATTCAGAGAGAAAAGGCTTAGCCTGGTGCTCTTAAACAGGCCAAAGGCCGTCCCACCAAAGCAAATTGCAATTGCAAAATTTTTATCACCGTACGTGGTTGTGGTGATCTTCAGTGCCCGGAAGCGTATTTACGTACCGTAACCGCGGCCGAACTCGGATACGGTACGTAAATACGCTGCCCGGAAGCAGTCGTCAACATGAGCGGAAGAGGCAAAGCAGGAAAAGCGAAAGGAGGCAAGTCCAAGACCAGATCGTCCCGTGCCGGACTCCAGTTCCCGGTCGGTCGTATCCATCGTCTGCTGAGAAAGGGAAACTACGCCGAGCGCGTCGGAGCCGGAGCACCGGTATACCTGGCCGCCGTCATGGAGTACTTGGCAGCTGAAGTTTTGGAGTTGGCCGGTAACGCCGCGCGTGACAACAAGAAGTCTCGTATCATCCCCAGACATTTGCAATTGGCCATCAGGAATGACGAGGAGTTGAACAAATTGTTGTCCGGTGTAACCATCGCTCAAGGTGGTGTGTTGCCCAACATCCAAGCCGTTCTTTTGCCCAAGAAGACCGAAAAGAAAGCTTAAATTACTTTCATCCGACACACTTCTAATACCAAATAAAAAGGCCCTTATCAGGGCCACCAATTATATAAAATACGGTATTGTACATTATGCAACACATCCTGTTCGATACTACATTAGGTAGAGCTTGTGTATATCTAGTTGATTGTTTTGGATTTCGAACACCAATATCAAGACGAAAAATTAATATCAACAATCGGTGACTAACGGTAATATAAATGGATTGAAATCATCAACATAAAATGATTACTTTTTAAAGGGCCCAAATTAGATTTTGTTTTATAATCAATAACAAACATAGTTCCTTTATGTATACTGTTTTAGTAGTATTAAACTAGGGATTGGTATCTGATCAAACATTTTTGTTATTATGATGATGTTAACGTAGCCAAATGTGATTAACATTTTTTTCAGCAATTGATGAAGTTTTGGCGGCAATATGAGGTAAAATTTTAATTGTATTCGTCTGATATAATATTTGACTAGTTTAGAAGTAATAATGTGTACTATATAACGACACGTTAGATGTTGCTTTTATATATATTCGTTTAGCAACGATATCACAAGTGGGTGACTAAACGTCAATACTAGTAAAATATTAACATGATAACACTGTTTATGCAGAAAATCATATTGGTTTAAAATGGCTTAGTGGGGTTTGGGGTAAGAGTGAGCAGTATTTCTTATGTGATAATTGACTACCTACTTATATAAACATTTAATTTTTCTAGCTAGAAATTGAATTAATTATATCTATTTAATTATTAATTTATTTAAACTAATAGGTACATTATATCTACGATGTATCAACAAATGATTAAATAATATTATGTAATATTTATTGAATAATTATACTTAAAAAAATTACTTCGACTTAGTATTTACTACTAATACTGTATTAATTATATATTATATTAGGAACTATTATATTATGCATGCATATTATATATATTTATAACTTATTATTTGATAAAAATAATATAGATAACATTCTTTAATAAAATAGATTTTTATGAATTAATTTAGCACGCGGCCTATTACCTCATTTGGTTTTCTTTTCAAAAGCAAAGCTTGTAATATTATAACTATTAAATGGAAAAAACCACAACATATTATCCATTTTATGTTTTGTATTTTCAATATAAATACAAAAACATATTAACACATAAATAAATAATAATACAGAGTGACAGTGATTCATTTTTTATTTAATATTATACTTTACTCTTGTCAATTTGATTTTATATGTAAATATAAATTATTATACATAAATAATTATTAGCCCTTAGGTTTAAAATATTAAAGGTCACTGACACTGTGACTTTAAAAATAACTGTTTCCATTGTCACGTTAACTATCTCTAATCTTAAGTCTTAACATACAATCACTGAATCGATTTATTTTCATGAGCTGAATCACATGAAATAGTTCACTAAAATGAAATGAAAGTACCAACCAGACACCATATGTCAGTCTTTACCATATAGATGTATACAACAACTAGATAGCCCCCCCGTGTTCTTTATGCAGTTGTGACGAGTGTCGGACAACGGACTTTTAACGACTGTCGTCTTTTATCTAATATATATTTTATGTATGGATTGGGGATCTTGAAAATCATTGCTTGCTTTGTAAATGTCAGTGGACCTACAAATGTTGAGAACGCGACGGTTACACAGTTGTATAGCATGTATTGGTCACAACAGTAAGTTTAGTGGCCCTGAAAAGGGCCTTTTTAAAAATGTAGGTAGTATGTGTGGGGGTTAGCCTCCGAAACCGTAAAGGGTACGGCCTTGACGTTTTAGTGCGTAAACGACGTCCATAGCGGTGACTGTTTTCCTCTTGGCGTGTTCGGTGTATGTGACTGCGTCGCGGATTACGTTCTCCAAGAACACTTTCAACACACCACGTGTTTCTTCGTAGATCAAACCGGAGATACGTTTCACTCCTCCGCGGCGAGCTAACCGACGAATGGCAGGCTTGGTGATTCCTTGGATGTTATCACGCAACACCTTACGATGACGTTTGGCGCCTCCTTTGCCAAGACCTTTTCCTCCTTTACCGCGTCCTGTCATATTTGGTTTTTGTGTGGTTTCTTGGCGTTGATACTGGGCAAACTGCTGCTCTGAACGCTGAACGTAGACTGATGCCGAGCACTTTGCTTTGCTTTAAGAGGGATGGCTATGCCGTTAACTATTCCAGGCTTATGCCTCTACTAGTGGATGGAAATTAAAAAGAAATGGTTTATTTATTGGTCTGCCCAAGAGAGTGGGTAGGGCTTCAATTTACGTTTAGTATTTGGGGGAGGGTGTGTTTTACCTAGAAGTCGGATGTGAGCATGATTCGAGAAAGAATTATTGTAGAACATTGATTTGGTTTGGGAACGAATGGAGTTTTGAATAGATTTGAAATTTGTCGATTTTAGAAGGACCGAATTTCTAACGATGGTGGGCATACGCGTTATAGTGCGTATGCCGATGTTTTGGACGGATTCGATGCGGTTCCATTGAGAGGGTCCTATAAAGGGTGCCCAAGAAGAGCCAGCGTACGTTAGGATAGGTGAGACGTAAAGTTTAAGTATGTTAAGTTTCGTTGTCGTTGGGACGGGGCTAGTGCGGTTTAGTATGGGGTAAAGCATACCTCGGATGCGGGTAGCCTTTTTGGTGATGTTTTGTATGTGTTTGCCGAAAGTGAGTTTGCGCCCGATGGTGACGCCGAGGTATTTTGCTTTGTCGGACCAGTTAATGGAGTGGTTGTCGAGTAGTAGTGGTGGTACGTGGGTGGTATTTGAGTGTCCGAAAATGATACCTACAGTTTTGGTCGCGTTTATTTTGATTCGCCATCGGTGAAACCATGTGGTTGCAAGGTTAAGTTGGTGTTGTAACTGTATGGCTGCTCGTTTTTGGTTGTGGTCGTAAGTAAAGAACATCGTGTCGTCGGCGAATAACGAGAGATGAGCTTTTGAAGTCGTCGGAATGTCGTTTATGTAGGTCAAGTAGAGAGTTGGTGATAGGCAGGATCCCTGAGGGACGCCTGCGAGAATGTGTCTGGTGGACGAGAAAGAGTCTTCGATTTTAGCGATAAAAGTGCGGTCGGTGAGAAAGGATGCGATGATTTTAATGATTTCGGTCGGGATGTTGAGTTGAGAAAGTTTGTATAGGAGTCCGGCGTGCCAGACTCTGTCGAAAGCTTTCTCCACATCAAGAAATATAGAAGCGGTGTTTATGTTGTTGTTGAAGTTCTGGCTGAGTTGGTGAGTGAGTTTGGTCAGTTGTTGGGTAGTAGAGTGTTCGGCTCTGAATGCAAACTGTTCGGGGCGGATTTTGTCACGGAGTATGTTTTGTAGGTGAGTGAGTATGAGACGTTCGTAGATTTTTGATAGGGAGGAAAGTAGGGCGATTGGGCGGTAGTTTACGGGTAGTTTGTGGTCTTTGCCTGGTTTGGGAATGGAAATTATGACTGCTTTTTTCCAGGCAAGTGGAAAGTAGCAGATTCTGAAGGAGCTGTTTATAATTTGCGTTAGGGATAGTAAGATATTGTTGGGGAGAAATTTAAGAGCCGTGTTGGTGATGAGATCATCGCCTGGGGCTTTCTTCTTGCGAAGGTCGCTTATTATTTTTTGAACGGTGCCGGGAGTGGTGAACAGGTTAGATTTTATAGTATTGAGGTTTTGTAGTGAATGGTAGTATGCGGTCACTTCTGGTATGTCGGGACCGGGGTTTGTTTGGAATTGTTGTTCGAGAGAGTCCGCTATCAGCTCGGCTCGGTCTTTGGCCGGAAAGATAAGGCCGTTTGGCCCGGTCAGAGGGTGAGAAGCTGGACGTTTATGAAGGAGGCATTTGTTGAGTTTGTAGATGGAGTTGTCTTGTTGGTCAAGAGAGTTTAGGAAGGTGTCCCATTGGTCAGTTTTGTGAGTTAAAAGTAAGGTTCGGATTAGTGCGATTTTGGCGTTCAGTTGGCGTTTAACGGTTGGGTCACGGTTTCTCTGCCACAGACGGCGTAGTTGGTTTTTTTCAGTAATTTCTAGTTTTATGTAGTCGGGAAGTAAGAGGGACGAGTTTTTGCGTTTAGGAGTAAATACGCTAGCTTCGATAGCGTTTTGTAGGTTTTTGGTCAGACAATCGACTGCTTGGTCAATTGAATGTTTGTCATTTGTTGGTGGTATGGGAGAGTTAGGTAAGTTGGTAAGGATGGTTTTGTATTTTGTCCAGTTAATGAAGCGGTTAGTAGCAGGAGGAGACGATGAGATCGGAGTACATAGAGTCTCAAGAAGTATAGGGTTATGGTCGGAAGATAGTTCGTTGAGGTTTTCGATTTGGGTCGGGTATGGTAGACGTGCGAGGGCGATGTCGAGTACGTCGGGTCTGTGACGGGCGTAAGTGGGGAAATGTGTGGGGGAAGTGGGGGCAATAACGGAGTAGTCAGAAAGTTGGATGTGATCAAAGAGGACACGGCCGGCTGCGTTTGTCGAGTGGCTGTACCACAGGGGGTGTTTGGCGTTGAAATCGCCTGCTGATATTTGCCATTTCGCGCTTTGGGTAAGTAAGTCTAAGTCAAGTGTCGAGAGAGTGGCGCCAGGTGGTTTGTATAACGCTGATACAAGTATTTCATGGTTGTTAAGTTTGATAAGGACTGAAGAGGTTTGAATGGTTGTGTTAAGAGTCATAGGTTGGTGGACGATGCGACGGTGAATGAGGACGGCCGTGCCGCCGTGAGGGGGCGAGCCCCGGATGGTCGGTAGGTCGTTCCTGTACGTGAAGTAATTTGGGATGTGAAGATTGGTGGAGGGAGATAGACGAGTTTCGTTAAGTAAGATTATGTCGGTTTTTAGTTGGAGTGCGAGAGCTGTTAGTTCATTAAGTTTGTGTATAATGCCGTTTGAGTTCCAAAATAGAATTTTTAAGTGATGCCGAGCATTGCTTTGCTTCTTGCTTTGCTTTGTTAGAGTACTCTGTTTCAAGCATTTAGCTTCTTACAGAGAGGAGGAAGTACAGAATTGAGAGTGGTGAGTTTAGGCTTAAAGATTAGCTATTATTAAGAAAGTGGTTTTTTAATGAAGTGCTCCTTGGGTGAGTTTTTGGAGAGAATGTCGGAGATGTGCTTGAAGCTTGAGTTTTTGATGCGTTGAGTAAGTGAAACTTTGTTTTTTGATAAGTGATCTTTTAGTGGTGGAGTCTTTAAGGATGATCTGATGGTTTCGTTGGAGACATACCAGTCCAGTCCAGTAATTTGACGCAGGGTAGTAGACTGAACTGCCTCTAGTTTTGACCAGCTGCTATTGGAAATATTTGCCGTCCATGCAGGTCCCGCATAGGTCAGGATAGGTCTGATGTAGGTTTTGAATATATGTAGTTTTGAAATCCGAGCATTTGGAACGTCGTCGTATTTATGCGTTTTACGACGCGGCGCACGGCCAATCGAAACGCTCGACCGGATTTTCCCCACCCTTGAACTAACAGCCGCGTGCCGACCAACGGGAACGAAGGATACGATTCCGATTTGTGTATATAAACGGGTGTTTTTGATTTTTTGGAGCGTGAAAACGGCTGTTTAGGTAACGGTTCGGGTGTGATATAAACCCTACCAAAACAATAGGTATTCTTTTCGGACGTTCCAATACTACTCACATCCCACCACTACTACTCGACAACCATCCAGTGACTTGGTCCAATCATGCCAAATACCTCGGCGTTACAATAGGGCGCAAACTCACCTTCGACAAACACGTTCAAGACATCACCAAAAAAGCCACTCGCGTCCGCGGAATTCTTTACCCCATTCTCAACCGTTCTAGCCCTGTCCCAAAATGTTCAAAGCTCAATATTCTAAAACTCTACGTCTCTCCAATTCTTTCTTATGCTGGCCCCTCTTGGGCTCCTTTCATCGGTCCCTCACATTGGAGACGTATCGAATCTGTCCAAAACATCGGCATTCGCACGATAACGGGTATGCCCACTATCGTTAAAAATTCGGTCCTTCTAAAATCAGCAAATTTCAATTCAATCAAAAATTCTATTCATAACCAATCTAAATCGATGTTCTACAAAAACTCTTTCTCTACTCATTCCCACATCCGACTCTTAGGGAAATCTCACACCCCACCGTCCACAAAGTGTAGAATCAAACCCTACCCTTTGACATGGGCTGACCAACAAATTTAAAACCACCTTCCTAAACTTCCATCCACTAGTAGAGGCAAAAGCCTGGTATAGTTTCACGGCTTAGCCATCCCCCCAAAGCAAAGCAAAGCAAAGTTTTTGGAGCGTCATTGTTCATTCGTGTTGAATCTATATTCAATATATAATATAATAATTAAATTTCCATCAAACAGTTCGAGATGGCCCGTACCAAGCAAACCGCCCGTAAGTCGACTGGAGGAAAGGCGCCCAGGAAACAGCTGGCCACTAAAGCCGCACGTAAAAGCGCACCCGCTACCGGAGGAGTTAAGAAACCACATCGTTACCGGCCTGGAACTGTTGCTCTCCGTGAAATCCGTCGTTACCAGAAGAGCACGGAACTGTTGATCCGCAAATTGCCGTTCCAACGTCTGGTACGTGAGATAGCGCAGGACTTCAAGACCGACCTGCGTTTCCAGAGCTCCGCTGTCATGGCGTTGCAGGAAGCCAGCGAGGCGTACTTGGTGGGTCTGTTTGAAGATACCAATCTGTGCGCCATCCACGCCAAACGAGTCACCATCATGCCGAAGGACATCCAATTGGCTCGTCGTATTCGTGGAGAACGTGCTTAGAGCTGTTATTATTATTATTATTATTATTATTATTATTATTATTATTACCTTAAAAAGGCCCTTTTCAGGGCCACCAAAAACAATTATATTCGTCTTGGCTTGAGGTCTTCTTTACAGGTAAGTACTTTGCAGTTTGCGTGCTACGTGCCTGCACTGTTCATCGGAGAAACCTTACGAGCCACAATATAAATATATTAGTTTATTTTCAGATATACTTTAAAAATAAACCAAAACTACTTTTGACCATTACCTTTTTGTTAATTGATAAAGAGTATAAAATATGTAAAATATCAGTAACTACTATTCTACGCTATTCTACGCTTCCGGACCCACCACTAACTGCGCCGTTAAAAGACTACAAAATCAAATAGATCTAACCTCCACATGGTTCAAAGATTGGAAGGTAACAATAAACCCTACTAAAACTACAGCAGTTCTATATGCAAACAAAATACCTTATCACACAAAAAATATACTCATGGAAGGCAACATTATAAAATGGTCCACCAAAGCCAAATACCTAGGAGTAACAATTGACTCCAAACTACACTTCACTTCCCACATCACAGACACAATGAACAAAACTAAAGCTGCAAAACACTGCCTATTTCCAGTTATCAATAAAAACAGTCCGATTCCCCTTAATATGAAATTATATATATACAAAACCTACCTAAGGCCAATTCTTACATACGCAGGACCAGCGTGGGCCTCCAACATATCAGAAAATTCTTGGAAAAAACTGGAGAGCACCCAATCAGGCATTTTAAGAACCATCACAGACACTCAATGGTTTGTAAGAAACTCAACAATCAGGAACTCTGCTGAAATTATTAATTTCAATTTATTAATTTATAAGAATTTTGTTATCCATCAGAAAATATATACAGACCGAGACATCAAAATTAAAATCCACCATCACAAGTTCAAAATTCTCACACATCTCAAATATAAGCAGAAGAACCTCGCCTAAACAATTATTCATAAACAGACCAAACTCCTTCTAAACAAAAAATATCTAACTCATGAACTATCTCACCCCTCATATGCAACCCTCTGAAAGAAGCATCAAAGCTTGGAACAGAGTAACAACAAACAAAGCAAAGAAAAAAAAAAAGTAACTACCACCTACGTTCTTGGTAATTCCCACACCGAAATAATGAACCCACGTAAATTTTATGGTCCAAACATCCTGGCGCATAATTTTTTACACAGGTTCAGCGAATTTGTAGAATAAAATTTATAAAAAGTAACACTTAATGCTCTTTTTTATTAGGGTTCCGTACGTTTCCTTACGGAAGCCTATTAATTTCGCTCGGAAGTCCGTCCGTCGCCGTCGTCCGTTCGCGCCGGGAAAAACAACATAAAAATTAAGGAAAAACGGGAATTTTTACGCAAAATTGGTTTTCCAAAAAATCGATTTTGGTTATTGGTGTAACTCTAAAACAAATGAACGTATATACATGAAATTTTCACTGGTTGTTAATATTTGCATTTTCTATACACGATAACATTTTCAAAATATTTTGATTTATTTTGAACTGTTTAGGGACATTTTCATTTTCCATTTTTTTTTAGTTTTTTTTCTAAAAATATCAATAAAATTTTATTTGTTGGTTGCGAAAGCTTGAAAATTTAATAGAAGGCTCCTAATATGTTGTTTCAAAGGCAGATGAAAAATATTAAAAATCCTTAGTCACAATTTTTTTTTATAAGCATTTAAAGTTCAAAAATTGACAAAATATGGAAAAATCACGAAAATTAGCAAATTATTTTGAGTTAAGAATTCGTAAAAATTTTTCTTTTTAAATCTAAGATTTGAAAATGAAACACAAGATTCCTTATAAGATTATCTACCTTTATCAATAAAAAAATCTCTACCGGAAAGTCAAATTAAATTTTTATGAGCGTTTGAAATTCAAATTTTTACAACATTGGATTTTCACTCGATTTCTCATGTAGCGATTTCCTTATTTTGTTGTAATTCAAAAACTAATAACTGTAGATACATGAAAATTTCACTGAATGTTTATATTAGCATTTCCTATACACCATACAATTTTGAAAATATTTTGACTCTTTTTGAGCTGTTTACGGACATTTTCAATTTTCAATTTTTATTTGGTGGGCCAAAAAGTCTGAAAATTTAATACAAGCTTTCTTATATATTGTTACAATATCAGTTGAAAAATTTTAAAAATACATAGGCACGATTTTTTTTTATAAGCATTTAAAGTTGGAATTTTGACAAAATTTATCAAAATCTCGAAAATTATCAATCGTTGGAATTAAAAAATTATAAAATGTCCAGTTTTTATAACTAAGAGTTGAAAATTTAAAACAAAGATTCTCTTAAATAATTCATACTGTAACCAAAAAATCTAAAAAATATATAAACACACTTATTTTTTTACAGACCTTTTAATTTCAAATTTAGACAAAATTTCATATTTAAACCAAGAATTACGATTTTAGTTATTTTGTTGTGATTGTATAATAATATTCGTGGGTACTTGAAATTTCTAAAGTAATCTACTATATACAGGGTGATCCATTTAAGTGGGTACACTAATTATCTCGAAAAGTATTAATTTTTTTTGAATTTTTTTTTTTTTAAACTTCTAGGTTTATGTTTTTCTAAAACTGTATAATATATTAATTTTTTTCTCCCTTATATTTATTAGTGAAAAAACTAACAACTTTTGATTTTCAAATGGTAACATATAAAAAAAATATCATGAATTAATAATACCATTTTTATTGTGAATTTACGCGTTAACATTTTTATTTTTTGATGATTCGTTTGCGAGATACAGCTCCTCAAAATATTGGTGGTTTTCAAAATATTTTCAATAATTATAAAGACCAGGAGCTAATCATAAATTTGATATCGTTGAACCCAAGGTGACAAAATAAATAACAATTAATTATAGATTACCATTGTACTTTGAACCCTAATCATTTCTTAACTTATCGACTAATTGGACATACCGAATTACCAATGAATGATAAATAAAAACTGGAAATATATTATGACAAATTTATTTTAATCACAATTTCACAGATAATTATTTAAAAATTAAAATGGTATCACCACATAATTATATCTTATTACCACTAATGACTAAGGTATACCTTGATAAGTCCGTGACTGGTAATATGATTATAATATTATGCAGAAAGTAAATAATAAATACCCATATTTAGGTGATAATGCACAATTTTATTGTCACGATTTAAGATAGTCCTATCAATTATCTTAAATAATATTGTTCAATGTTCTGTGATATTGTGAACATAGACCTATTAACTAATAGTTAATATTATTAATAGTTAATAGGTCTATGATTGTGAATTATATGAATGTTGTATGATAATAGTAGAAAATGAAATAGAATAATACTATAATAGGTATTATAATTTTACAGCACTATTTAAGAATTTAATTAATTAATTACCTATCTAAAATCGTGTTTTACAGTTACACTATTTGAAAATCTTATAACTTTTTTTTTTATTGTACAAAAACTATTATTAAATTAATGTAGTGATATTATTTGATTAACAATCAAATCGGAATCCCAAGAGTCCAAGACCATTAATTAATAAGGATTTGAAAGAAAAAATGTATGAAGATCCAACCACATAAAATTCTTGGATTATTTATTTTTAATATGTGTTCAAAATGTTGACCATTTTGTGACATACAAAATGTCATACGTTTTAAGACATTTTCAGTTGTACATTTTTTCATAATATCAGCTGGTATAATATTTGAACAGACTTCTGTAATTTTTTTTATCAGCTCATTTTTACTGGATGGCATTATATCATAAACAGCATTCTTCACAAATCCCCCCCCCCAAAAAAAAAAAATCCAAAGGTGTCATGTCTGGACTACGTGCTGGCCATTGAATTTTTTTATTTATTTTTTTTTGTGTCTGTGTACACGATAAGTGGTCGAAATAATGCTTCGATTTTCGACTTCAGTATCTTGTTCGATTGGAAAGTGAAAATCGTTGGTGCATTGAGGAGGTCAACATTTAAATTTCCCAGTAGTTTTCAAGAGCGCCGGGAAAAACAACATAAAAATTAAGGAAAAACGGGAATTTTTACGCAAAATCGGTTTTCCAAAAATCGATTTTGGTTTTTGGTGTAACTTTAAAACAAATAACCGTAGGTACATGAAATTTTCAGTGGTTGTTTATATTTGCATTTTCTATACCCGATAACATTTTCAAAATATTTTGATTTATTTTGAACTGTTTAGGGACATTTTCAGTTTCCAATTTTATTAGTTTTTTTTTTTATGAATATCAATAAAAATTTATTTGTTGAGTAAAAATACTTGAAAATTTAATACAAGGCTCCTACTATATTGTTTCAAAGACAGATGAAAAATATTAAAAATCGTTAGTCACAGTTTTTTTTTTTAAGCATTTAAAGTTCAAAAAAAGTGGGCAAGTGGGTGTCGCTCTGCTGTACAGTAGGTTACAAGTGGGTCACTGTATAATGGATGATATTAAATTTGAATTCGACGATATAATATCATTGTATAAGAAAAACGATTCTGAGCGGAGACAGTATGTCAGTCTAGGTATAAGACATATTATATACATTATACATATCTATAGTACTAAACCAAAATTTGACCTATAATAGGTAGGTACCTATAATAAATTCCAAAATTAATCATATCAAAATATCCATTAGGTACTTATAACGCGTTATACATCAACAAAAAACGTGATACTATCATAGATATATAATAGTGTACTTTAGAAGTTTCAAGTACCCACGAATCAATTACACAATCACAACAAAATAACTAAAATAGTTATTCTAGGTTTTTTATTATGTAATTTCGTCCAAATTTTAAATTAAAATGACTATAAAAATAAACTGTGCTTATGTATTTTTTAGATTTTTAGTAACAAAATTAACTACTAACTTGGAATCTTGTTTTAAATTTTCAATTCTTAGATATAGAATTTGAACAT